TAGGGATGACAGATCCTCCAGGTAAGTTCTGGGGAAACACACTTCCTTTAATCATGATGGTAAGGCTACAGCAGGAAAGTTTAATTATTTAAGCTGTTGGGGTTTTTCACTTCCCACACAGAAGACTTTCACTCAAGGCTAAGTCTGAGACTGCGGTGTTAGGGGGTGTGTTCATGGTTATCTCACGTAGATCCAAGCCCTTGCCAGAGCCCAAAGGGACTGTCCTACCCATCCTCTACCCCTGGCTTGGCACCCGCAGCTCTTCCTCCCTGCCATTATCTGCTCTGGATGTTTAGTATCTTTAAAAAATGCAGAGTTCAAGCCATTTAGGAAATCTGAAAATTATATGCAGCCTCTCACACAAGTGAGTATATGCATGTTCTTTACAGTTGTGAGTAATATAAAATTATATAAATACCTATGCTTAGTTAAGAAAGAAAAACTGAGAAAATATTTAACATAAACTTCTAGGAAAAAAAAAAATCAGGATGAAACTCCCCCTAAAATACAGACTGAATTGAAGAAAAAAAAAAAAAAAAAAAAAAAAAAAAAATTATTAAGAAAGAAAAACTTTACAAGATGTAATTAATATTATGAAACTGAAAAACTAAAGGGAATAAATTAAAAGTGATAAATCTTTTAATTTAAAAATTCATTTAAGACATCCACATTAGCCTGCTCTGTAACAGTTTAATACAATCGTGATGAATTTATGCATAAGTCAGTTCTGAGTTTATCATTCCAGACTGTACTATGCTAACTTTTAAAGGCACATTTGGTTTCTTTCATGTGTTTTCCCCATATAGTACAGCTCTTGAGTTAAGGTTGTGAGCTTTAGCCTACAGGAACATTAATGTTAGCTACGTATGAAAATACCTGAAACATCCATCTGATTGAGATATTCGGTCTGACACTCCCTTTCCCTGAGCCCTTTAGCATTCCCACTCGGTAACCTCATCACTCGTCCTGAAGGGAGGGGGTCTTGGGAGCTGGTGGTTAGTTCTTGAGCAAGGATTTTTGCCAGCCCCCACACTGAAGCAAGTGCTGGAGATGGATTTATGCCAATTGGAAGTTCTTATCTGCAATTCAGTTATCTCTTCATCATCAGTGACTACCTCTTCCTTCAGCTGTGACACAAACAAGCCCAAAAAATTATACAGCCTTTCCTTTTGTAGTCATATCACACTGTAGGATAATACTGATTCTTCAACCCATCTGCAGCAAGAACAGGCTTATGGGTAACTTCAGATCATATTTATTCCATTTTCATGCATTTTGTAAATGACAGATAATAAGTTGGTCAGTTTTGTTCAATGAAGAGCACTAATTTAGAGTCACAATTAACAATCACAGTATTGCCAGAAATTTTATCAATCTAAATGAGACACAAAAGCTGTACTTAGCCATCTAAACATTAAGAAAGTTTCTGTTGAAATTAAATGCATAGAGCAGCATACCATTATTGCTACTATTGCTTTTCTATGCGTCTTACACAACTAACTTTTCTGCATGTCTCCCTCTCACTGCAAATCTTACAGATTTTGAGAAAAAAAATCAACCTTTCCATCCATGAAACCTGGCCACTTTATAGAAGGGCTACTCTAGCACATTAACTTAATTGGTCTCAGAATATCAAAATATGAAGAGTACTGAAATTTTATCAGAATACACAAATATGTGTAACTTTCCTGTAATGAAGGTATGTATTATTACTTCATCATGTCATTCTTCATTATTTCCTAGTCTTTTTTTCTAGGTCCCATTAATCTCTTTTTTGACCCTGCATATTGTGCACCATAGGAAATATTTAACAAGAATGTCTCTCCAATGTCTTTGAGTATGAAAATAATATAGGCGGGAAGTAAAGCAGCCTTTCTGAGTGTGAAGCAGATTTATTTATTTTGAAATTCAGAACAGCACTGAGTGGGTGCTGATCCAGTGAGGACAGAAACTGACCCTGGACTGGGGGACTTGCTCGTTGCTGACATGGAGCAAAAGCCCACCCCTCTAAGCCCCACAACAGGGACAGCCATAAGTCATATGGGGACTGTGCCAGGAGGGATGCAGGACCATATTATTTCCTGTGAGATGCTCAGTGTCGACTGAACTGTGTATATATATCTGTGTGAAAGTAGGCTGCATGAAATATGGATGAAGCAGGTTAGAAATCAGCTGCGGGTTTGAGCCGATGATGCACTCTCGGAGACTGAAAAGCTTATTCCCTATTTTGAAAAATTATTCAAGAACAGTGTTTTAAAAGTAATGAGACCACTGCAATAGGGAAAAGGTGCTTTTTGAAGCACTCAAATGAGTTAGTTACCTTGCACAAATGGAAGTCACTAGGAACTGGACTCTCAGCTGGCTTTGCAAAATTAGTAGGTGACTGGCTGAATTTTTAGACACCAAAATATTTGTTTCCATTAAAAGAAAAGTGCAATCTTTATTAACTGCATTATATGACAATTATATTTTCAATTATACAGCTCAGTTTACACAATGATCCAAGGCCCTTTCTTCTGCTAATAGTGCTAACAGGGGTAAGAGAAAAACACAAAAATCTATGTACAAAATGTAAAGAAGAGAAAAGCTCCAAGAGCACAGAATGACTGTTGGGCGAATGCCACTAATTCTCTCTTAGTAAGTCCAGTATTCCTAAAAGGTGATGGTCAGTGGTTTAGGATTTCTTCTTCAAGCTAGATCAGACTGTTCTACATTCTTCGGTCATTTTTGTCTAGACTAAACTATTTTTTCTAAATTATTAATGTGCAAATTATATTTTGGAAAGTTTGAACATTTGTTTTGAAATCCCATCTGAAATTATGTGACAAGTGTTCCCATTGAACAGTTGCTCTTCTTTACCTTTTCTGAAAATTCTATACGCCTTCTTCTTAATAATGAAGTATGGCACAGAAACATATAGTGTAACAGCTGGGGCTTTCTTCACTTTTGCTGGGACTATTAATTTGTTTGAGGCATTTTATCATCTCTTATAGATCAAATTATCTTCTGTTATAATAAAAAAAATGACACAACAAAACAGATATTTTTGTCTGTAAAAGAACATACATATTTTACACTTGCAAGAAATAACTTCTATTGGTGAAAATGGATATTCAGAACTGACAGGAGCAGTTTTGAGTGATACACACTTTCAGCCTTTCTTGATTTCTTTTCAGGGCTCCTATATAGCTTTCACATGCAGTGATTTCTCAATAATCTAAATAAAGTAAGTTTTATCAATCTTCTTTCAAGGATACTCCAAAACTAGTCTACTGACCTAACTCTCTGAAGGTCTGTAGAGAAGTTTGAGAACTACTCATTTTGAAACCATGTTTGCCCTTATTCTGTGTATTTCCCCTACATAGAAAGTACAGAACAAACTCTGAAATGCCAGAATACTGGCCCACTTCAACCACTGACTATTGCATTTGTAATATGGATATTTTACATGTTACTGCAGTAATGATGATATCAGGATGGTATGAAACATTTAAAAGCATCCAGCAATAATTATAAAAATTCTGCTAAATAAAACAATAATAAGCAAAAGGTCTGAAATAAGGTACTTTTGTTCATAAAAGAATATGCATATTTCATACGTGCAGCAAGTAACTTTTTACTTAATTCAAAAGCAAATTTCAGGTTGTTGAAAATTTCCCAGAAAAGGAAAAAAATCTAGATGTGATCCATTTAACACTGCCTGTCCCAGTTTGCCTCACTGACTCACTGCTGGGCATGGTGAGCTCAGTACCAAAAGCTGAGTGACAGCAGGGACGGGCACAGCTGGCTTCGGCAGCCCCAGCCAGCTGCAAGGCAGCAAAGCACCCATGCTAAGCGGCGTGTAGGCACGGCATGCTGCAAAGCTGCTTATCTAGCAGGAGCATGGGGATTTGTCCTGGGAGGTGCTGAGTAACCCCAGAGGTGCTGAGCCCTCTTTTTCCAGCTGGAGTTCAGTCCTGGGAGATTCCCAGCATCGTGGTGGGCTTGGCAGGCTCAGGAGCGCACCAGTCGTATTGCACTTTCAGGAATGAAGCATGCACCCCCCTCCCAGGTTCAGTGGCAGAGCAGAAGCTCACTTTATCTTTTTCTTGTTCAGTATGGGACAGTTCAGGTGTCCCAAGGATGCAAGGAGGGACTTACAATGCCTCTGCTGCAGAACAGAGGGACCTATCGCTGAGCAAAGTGGGGAATCCTCTTTGATTTCTCCGTCCCTCGCATATTTGTGCTCGTGCCATTCAAAATGAGGCCAGAAATGAGCTGTGCAGCACATCCACCCTTCTTCCACTACCTGTTGATTTGAGTTTCTCTGGCACAGGACATGTGTACATCTCCCTCTCCACCATGTCAACGAGAGCACAACCCATAGGAAGGGAAAGGTATGGCATGAGGAGGCTTCACAGCTGGTGAAAGCAGAAAGGCTTCTTTCTCTGCTTCAGATATTCTTGCAGTCTAATGAATAAAACACTACTTTTTTTTTCCCCAAATTAATATTTTACCTCTTTAATGATAACCCCATTCTGCTCTGAGTGCTGCATTTCTGTGAACAACGTGCATGGAACTGACCTCTTCGTTCCTGAAATGGACTTATGGACAAATGGACTTAAATTTTAATTCAAACTAATCATTTCTTAAAGTCCGTATTCTTTACAGTAATGTTCATTAAGCTCCTCTATTATACTTGCTGCAAAGAGAAAACTGCATTCAAATTACATTCAAAGCAATGATAAGTTACCATTTTAATGATTCCTTATGTTGTGAGTAATTTATAAATCACTCGGTATCTTCTCAGCAAAGCTTGCCTTCTGTTTTTAAAACGTACCTTTTCGTATCCAACAAAGGGTTTCAGTGCAATAAGAATTAAGGCGTGTCTCTCAGATTTTACCTGCAAGCAATAATGATGTTGTCAAGCGTTTCAGGTGAGACCTGCCCAGGATTTTGGGGTGGGGAAAGACACTCTGTTATACAGCATCTTCAGTGCTTCCCTCAGAGGGAGGCAGAGACACCTTGAAGGGCTGAGTATAAGGACATCTACTGAGTGTCTTTTTAAATAGACACCAGAGGTGGGGGGGGGAGGGGAAAAGGAACAGACTTGTAACCATAACTCAGTTGGACTTGTATCTGAGAAGTCAGATGCCATGGATTGGGTCCCTCACCGAACAGCTGCTTTTCTGTTCCTTTTATTGGTAAGTCAGATTTTAAAACTATACTTGCAAACTCTGTGATTATGCCAGTTGCGTCTTCCTCAGCAGACATTTTAGAGTGTAATCTACCCCCCAAAAAAATACTGGGACATTTAGCACAAAAAACAAAGGTGTGCTTATGTTAAACTGCACTTCTGAAGATTCTATACAAATAATTTAGGTTTTCATTAAATGATGACAAATATTTCTTTTGCTTTTGACTTTTTGTAGCCTGTTGATGTTCAATATATGTCTTTCTATGTTTAATGCATGACTTTTCAGGTGAAAGTTGTCTGTGGCTACTATTTAAGGAATCACTGTTGTTAATCAAAATCTTATCATTATAAAAATCCTAATAACTTGATTGGATATCATTTGATTCTATGTCTTTATTTTTTTGAATCAGTTGAGGGAACATGAAAAGCAAATCTCTTTTTCTAAACTGATTTGCAAGGGCGTTTCAGAGCTGACCAAATCCTACAGCTGTATTCAAGAGAAAAACATGAAATTTAGTGAACACCTTAGCTAGTAAAAATCAAGACTTGGCCTATTATTTCACATTACAAAGCATGCCTGCCTTGTAGTGCATTAGTGCCTGAGCCGCCATGTGCTGAGCAAATGAATGCATGACGAAAGTGTCGCTCTTTGGGTTTGTTTTTCTCACTATAAAAAGAAAGTTGTGGCTATGGTCAAGTGGCATTGTTATACAATGTGATCACCAAGGTACGGAAATTACCCAGAAAGGGCATAAAATAATTACGGAGGCCCTTCTACTGCTGCAACCTGATTTTTGCGTGGATTGTTTTTACTCATCTGTGCTGCTCTTCTGAAATTAGGTAGAGGTTTAAGGCCCTGAAGATTGAAAAGAGTAGGATTTCTATTGCATTTATGTCCTTTTGTGGCTTTCACAATTTTAGACTTTACACAATGTATTATTAAGTGTAAATGTTTGTTAACTTCTTGTTACTGACTCCTCTAGAAATGTTATAGTCAGGGAAAAATTTTTTTGTTGTTATAGAACATGAAAACTTAAAACTTATTTTGAAAAAGTAATCCATTAATTTTAGGTGACAGCTCTGCAGTCAGTAAAGTAGAACTAAACAACACAGGGCACTGCCAAGCAAACAACGACAAAAGTTGGCAAAATCAAGATACGGTTCGGATGAGTTTCAGCTTGTTTGACACAGTGCACAGGTCTCTGAGTTTGACATGTTGCACACCACACTAGCACTTCTGAATTTTCATGTAGCATTAGTGACTATTTGTTTTACTCAGTTACGTGGTGATGCATACTCCTTATGCGTCAAGGCTCAAAAAAAAAATTCACTGTACTGTATCTAAGATCTGTCAATTCAAAAATTATTTTACTGCTTTATTTTCTCTCAGCAACTCTGAAGCAATTTTCATTCTTTCAGTATATTATTGTTACAATTGTGACTGATGCAGGGTATGTGTTGGGTCAGGAAAAAGGAGCAATTGTGAAAATTGCCATTATGTTTTGATGACTATCAAATATTTGAACTTTTACTACCCAGAGGAAAAAAACTGTTGTTCTTATTATGTGTTCTTCTGTACAGCAGTGTTCATGGTGGCCTGTAAAGCTTAATAACATCTTTCAGCATTTTATAGAAAGCTGACAGACTGTAGAGATTAAATAAACTATAAATTATGTATCCAATTTTAGTGTATTCTGAGAAACAGTCTTGGTTTTCAGCTTAATTAATCTTTCATGAAAATCACATGTCTGAATGGTGCGTCTGGTTAGCATATTGTTAAAAAATTGTATCAAAGAAAATTGCTGTGGAGTTATACATATTTTAGTGCACTACTACACTTTCAAAAACAGAAAACTTACCATCTTGAAACTAATACTTTTCTATATGCATTTCACCATTGGTGTGACTGATTCTGCAACCCTTACTCACGTGACTTCAAAGGCGTTATTCTCATGAGTAAGGGAGTTCTGTTTGTGATACTTGCACAGACACGTTTTATGGAAATAATCTGTTTGATCAGGGATGACTCTTCTCCTGCCAGCTATCATGTGACACCCAATAATTGTAAATTCACCACATCTCTTATATGCACTTTTGTCTAGCTGCTTTTTCCCATGTTATCTACGCTTCTTTTTTTTTTTTTTTTTTTTTCCAGTTGTTAGGCTATGGTTACACCTCCTGCTCATAACTTGGTTGCACATAAAAACATAAAGGGGCCAAATCCTCTCCTTTCCTATGCATATGAAACATCTGCCAGGATGTAGCCAAGAACCTGCAGGCTTTTCTGTCAAAGAATTTTGTTGTAGAAATAGAAACTAAAGCAATTCCATATCCAGGCATTATCACTTAAGATCAGGTTCTTAAATCTGTAGTTTTGCACTCCTAAGTAAAAATGGCCCGTAAGCAAAGATGAATTTGCAGCTAGAGCATGCTAAACCATATTAGAATTCAGGTTTTATTGAGGAGATTTATTGAGGAGACTTAGCATGACTAATTTGAAAAACTCAAATTTGAAAAACTCAAATTTGAATGATAATGGCATACACCCTGTATTGAAATCACTTTTCCATTAATTTTTCTAATGGTTAAGCTCAGTTACTGTATGGAAATTCATTATTTCTGTATGGCTCAGCAGAACAGAAACAATCTCATTAGAAACTTTCCCAAAGTGGTCAGTTCTTTGAATAAACATATTTTAAAATTAATAAAACTTTGGAATATATTCTTCTGACTGACATGAGCATTGTCATACTTCTTCTGAAATAGCAATGGATTCTCCATCCTTGGTGCAATAAAAATATTGATATCAGTTGCTAATACAGGAAGCAGTAGAAACACCTGACTTTTGAAGAATTGGAAAACAAAATGCCAGAAAAGTAATCCTGAAAAACTTCGCCTTTAAATTGGAAGAAGCACTTTCATTAGTGACCTATGAAAATGAAAAGTATAGACAAATATACATCAAATGGCTTCTTTTTAAAGTATGAGGTTTTGCCTTATGTTTCAACTCTGCTTCTCATTATTTCATATGCACAGATTTATCATTTTTTAAAGAGATGCAGAATGAATACAGCGAAGGGTTCATTATTTCAACCTTTTACTAGTCAGAGCTTTGGCTGAGTAAGAAAGACGTAAAACTCCCAAAACGCTGACACAACCGGAGCTAGCATGGCACCCTGGTGACTAATATAATATGTGTGAGTTCTCAGCACTCCTCCCATCCAGGCCAATAACAATACCGCTGTTGACTTCAAAGAGAAAGAAGCAGATCCAATATGAATAATTCTGGGAAGATGTTAAAGGCGTGTTCAGTCATTTAGATTGAGTAGGTGGAGGAGGGAGGATTCCATAATTGCGTACAATATTGCTTGGCAGCCAATTAATGATTAGTTAATTCTTGCTTGCAAATTGCTTTGAAGGTACAAAGAACCATATACATCCTATGGGTCTAATTCAATTCCCATTTACATCAGAATAAATCCAGAATAACTCTGGTGTGACTCTAAGGTGCCATTTTGGACACAAGGTTTGGGCTCTGTATCATTACAATAAGAAATAAGCTTTCAGACAGGCCACTGTGCAAATGACAGTCACCATAAGCATGTTTCCTGCCTGCACCCCTTCCAACATAAACCAAAAACAGCTTGTGCAGTGGGCCTCTGGCTTCTCTGCAGAGTCTCCATTTTTTCAGTCTCTCAGAGACTAACAGGGCAACAAATCTTGATATCTTTCTGATCAGCTTGCCTACCCCAAGGTCCTCAGGATGCATCCCACACATTCCAGTGGTTCCTATTGCTTTAACTATCATTAATCACTGAACCTGTAGAAAGTACTGCACTCAAAAACTAGTTCAGAAGGGAAAATTGTTCATTACTTAGAAGTATGCTGGAGTTAGCTGCTACGAGACAGTAGTTCTCTGCTGGAAATAGCACTAGAAAAAAATGGGTTGCATCACAGAGAGATATTAGAAATAGACAGCCAGGGTGGGGGGAGCCTTCTAATTGCTGGTGATAGTAGAGAACCAGAAAACATTAGTTGGGGAGACAGAAGAACCTCCATCCCTGGATCAAGTTGGATAGATGTTACTCCAGAATTGCTGAGGTTTAGCTGGTGAACTAGGTAACTTTGTCTGGTGTCTGCCTGCCCTCATTCCTATAACACAGCAGTAATTGAGAGAGACATACCAAATGCAGGTATCAAGTTCATCCAATCACCCTTCTCAAATAATACCACAAACTGTACTAAGGACTCGGGATTCAAAACCATCAAGACTTCTTTCAAGACCTTCCATTAGCAACATGTTGCAGAATGGGTTTTTCCTTGGTCAGAACAGGAAAAGTGTGGAAATATGGGGCCTAAATTTACAATCCCCAGCATTAGTGATGAACAAATTCCTGACATTCCCATTACTGGTGTGCAAAAACAAAGGATGAAACACCAGTGTAAAATGCATATTCTTTACTGCTTGAAAACAGAACTCCCTATAGGCTGAAATCAAGTGTTTAATGAATATTCATGTCTTTAAAGAACAGAATTCTTTACAGGCATAATTCTTATTTCAGGGATACTCAACACAGTTTTTCAGTTAGGCCTGCTGAGTATGAGAGTGGTGCGGCTGGATGTGAGGTAGTTGTTCCACTGTTAAATAACAGAATAGGCCACAGTATGCAGACAGTAGACAAGATTCACTAACATTGCACTGGGAGGTGTATACTCATACTTTTCTGGGTCAGGACAATTGCTTGCATGCCAGAAGAGATTTCAGCCTAAGGGTGGAGAGGATTTCATTGTACTTACCAAAGGAGGCTTTGGTTTGTTGGTGGGATCAACTGATAAGAGATGTTGAGTCAGTGCTATTTCTGGTGGACTCTTCATCACTCAGGTTCTCCAGTGAGGGTGTAATCTGCCCCTTCCACTCTCTCCTGTTTCCCCAAGATCCAAGGGGGATTATAAAAGGACAGGCCTGAGCTCCCACTGGGATGAGAAAACCCCACAGTTTAAATGGAGTCTGATATTGTCCCTTCTCTGAGATGAGTAACGGCTGCACGTGAATTTGAACCCCATTCTGCAGCTGGAGATTTAAATAGTCACCAAGACATAAACTCAGATTAAAATAGGTATTGATGCTTTTAGCACCACATTAACATATTTTAATGATTTTCCTGCAGAGTACTTTTCTTAACTGTTTACATCAATAGCTTGCTCAAAGAAACAAGAGAGAAAAGCCCTTAGCCCACAAACAGTCCGATAAATTTCAAAGTATATGCGCACTAGTTGGGCAGATCCACAGTCTCAGTGCCCTCATTCAGAAGCAGATTAGGGCATCCATTATGTGCCAAGGTCTCAGGGAATGTTCTGGGCAAGATCAGATCATTGGAGACATTGCTTTGTAAACAGATGGTGGACCTCTTATGGCATATAGGTAAATGGAGAGAAGGGGGAAGAGAGAGGAAGGAGGGTGGAGCTGCTGTTCATTGATCTGTTGCATGCAAGAGACCGTTTTAACATGAAGTAAGTGGCAAAAAGTCTGTGCCCATCTTCCAGATTGGACAGAACAATGCAATAAATTTAAAGTGAGAGAAGTCCCATGAGGTAAAACTACCCTAGAGAAAAAGATTGTTACAGATTTTATACAAGTATAACTGACATAAAACCCATCAGATAAAGCATGTCAGACAAAAAAAAAAAAAAAAAAAAAAGCTATTGAACAGTACCAGGAAATGATAAGGAAAGTGGAAATTTTATAGCTACAGCTATTAACCACATTTGGTGAGAAAAGGGAAGCTCCACAACACTTTTTGAGTCACCTGGATATTTTGTTTCTCCCAATGACAAACAAAGCAAGAATCCAGTCCTTAAAATCCCATATTCTTCACCTTTTATCACCTGAAGAGAGCAGAGGCAGGTCCTAAACCCAAAAGAGATGCTCTGAAGAGGTACATTCACCAAGTGAACTTCATTTTCACACCTTACTTAGGAAAAAGGTTAATTAAACTGTGACTTCTTTTAAACTGTGCTAATCAAGAAATTGAGGATTCTCTATTATTTTAATTTTAAAGTAATTACATACTGCATCTAATCCCGCAACCTTTATTTACCCAAGACTTTAGCTGCATAGTTAGACTTCAAATCAAAGTCCACTGCACTCCAGGGATATCTGCCCAACGACTGCAGTTGGCTTTCCATCTTACACTGAACCTCCTCAATCTCAGTGGGAAGTTTCAAGAAAACATTTTCATTCTTTTTGGTTAAACTACATAGTTAAGTACTCCAGGTCTACTGTGGACTTTCTGAATAAGAAAAAATAAAGAATAAAATGTTTAAAATAAATAAATACTCCTTTTCTATTTTCCTGTACATACTTTTTAATACCAACTCTTGCAACCACTTCTGACTCCAGCTGAGGTGTTACAACCTACAAATCTGTATGAAAGCTATATTTTGATGTAGCTATAACTTAAATTTGCTATTGGACATTCATTCAAACTTAAAGTTCTGCCTTGAAAGACAGAATTAATTTTTAAGGTGCTAACTGTCAAGGAATTCAAGTGATGGATATAGAAAAAAATGAATTGAACAAAAAGTTATTTATGGAAATCCTGTAGCTGCTGCCTAGATAGGCTACTGCAATAGACTTGAGAAAAAGTACTGCTCCAGTCCTGCAGTATAGCAATGTGTGGCAGCTTGGTTTTGCTTACTGCATTTTGCCCTGCATTTTTATATGCCAGCCTTCTTATTGTTCTTGCAGGTACTCTTGGATTTCAGCACAGGATTTCATGTAGAGGTAATATACATTTCTTTATAAATTGAATTTCTGATCAAATTAAATGTAACTAATGAAAAAATGAAATGGAAAATACTGAACTAAGGCATTTCTGAACTTGAAGATTGGAAACATATTTAAATATTAAACAGTTGCAGGTAATAACCTGCTCAGCCTCTCAAGAGAAGTTCTCCTGAACCTAAATGTGTATCTCATACACAGGAATAATTTTAAAGTAAGCATGTACAGTCTTAGAGTTTGGGACTCGCAGACATATAAAAAAGCACATGATCTATAAAAATCCCTTTTCTCCTTATTGTTGGAAATTTTAAATGTCTGTATTGATTTAAAATGGATTGAGGTTAATGGTCATATGATACTGGAACTCTCTGTCAAAGGTAAAAGAATGGGATGAAAATGGAATGGCAAGATGGAAAACCTTCAGAAGACAAAAACGTGAATGGATCAAATTTGCTGCAGCTTGTAGAGAAGGAGAAGATAATTCTAAAAGGAATCCAATTGCCAGAGTAAGTAGAAAGAAAAACAAAAGTGTTCACTGACAAGGAAGTTTTCCTAAAGAGAGGCTGATAAAAGCAGAGATTTAAAAGTATATTTGCTTAGAGCAGCTAAAGTAATGTATGTAGAATAGAAGAAAGATGATGCAGTATTTCCAGCTCTGCTGAGACAGTCTCATATGGTGAACCCACGTGGCTGCTGAGGGGTGACCAAAGGCTTCAAGAACATTGCCGTCAGTCTACTTTCTAGACAGTTCCAACCACAGTCTCTTCATATGCAGCATCTGTGTACTACATCACAATATTTTTTTTTCTTTTTCACCCTGAGAAACCCTGAGCAGAAGTTCAAGGATAGTGCATGACTTTTATGGGGAACAGAGAAAAGAAGATGCCTTCCCATCATCTCATCATGACTGTACCCTTACTGAGGTCCAGCCATAGTGTGATACTCTTGGAAATTCTCTACTTCCCTGCCAGAAGACTTAGAAAAATAGAAAATCTGTCCTGCACTTAAGCAGAGATGAATCTCTAGACTGACTGTTTTCTAGAAGAGACTTCCATTGGTTCTGTCTTTTGAACCTTGTGATATGTGGTTGAGAAACTGAAATTAGATAGAATTTTTTACATGAACTACTAATAAGAAAAAAAGCCCTGCTGGTGTCCTCACTAAGCCTGCATAAATTATTATCTATTACTGTAGATCCGATCAGATTGTGAAGAAAACCATCCAATCACATACAGCATCTCTGGAGTTGGAATTGATCGTGCACCCTATGGAATATTTGTTGTTAACCCAAGAACAGGAGAAATTAATATAACATCAATAGTGGATAGGGAAATAACTCCAGTATTTGTTGTAAGTACTCCCCTTTTTCTTTTACCTTTATAACGATGGATCCAGGGTGGGGCAGGGAAAGCAGAAGGACACAAATTCATTTATTTCAGATTGTTACTTTGTTTAATTTATTTTTGGTTTTAAAATGAGTAAATGTCTTTATCTAGATACGTTGCTTTGCTAAACACTCAGTGACCGGTGTAGATTTGGAACCACCTCTTGAACTTCGAGTCAGAGTTCTGGATATAAATGATAACCCTCCTATATTTGCACAAACTGTATTTACAGGATCTGTTGAAGAAAGCAGTATGGACAGTAAGTAACTATGTTATGCCTATTACAGTATAGGAAGTGAAGCTCCCAGAATACAGTTAATATCAGCCTGGGGTGCTCATTCTACTTTATATTAGGCAACGACGTATATTGGCCAGGACTGCTCCAGAGGAAGGAGTGGCTGATGCTTCTCCAAGCGCTTTTCAAGCCAGGGCCTGAGATTATTGCCTAAAATTGAGCAGTGATGCTTCCTTCCCCCTTTCCTCCCACACATGAACATTGAATGTTCCAGTTTCTAATCATACCATCATGCAAATTCTTTCAGATGTGAAAATTTAAAATAAATCAGTTCATTCCTTCTCATTAAAAAAATATTAACATTTACACCTACACTTATTTCCTTTGAGGGTATATAAAATATGTTTTTTCCCGTTTTTTCTATTTCAAATATTTGTATTTGTAGCCTGAGTACTGCAGTTGCACTAGAATATTACTACATAAACCCTTACTGAAACCATTAAAATGGTTCTTTTTACCAAAAGTACAACAATCAACATTAGACATGCAATTAGCACTGAGGCAATGGTGCCTAATGCTCATTTTCTACTTTCTAGAAATTCTCATTTAAAACTGTGGAGACTTCTTATATTAATATCTACAGCTCAGTACTTTTTGTTTTTACACAGTCCCTCTGGTGATTTAAAGAAGTTCAGTGAAAATCGGCATTACTCCATCTGACCTTAATTTTTAATGCATTTTAAAGTCATTAACACTCAATCAGAATCAGTACTACAAAATTTAACTTTTGTTTTTACTTTCTAAATGTCAATGAACAGATAGTATTCTATCATTTTTATACACCAAGATTTAGCATTGTCTTGATGAGTTTTTTTCAGGAACAAAACAGATTTTCTGATTTTTTTTTTTTAATTATTACTTTTTATTCTTAGACACACTGGTGATGAAAATAATTGCATCAGATGCAGATGAACCTAATCACCTGAATTCTAAAATTGCCTTCAAGATAGAGAGTCAGGAACCTTCCGGTCCACCCATGTTCATTATGAATAAATATACTGGAGAACTCCATCTTGCAAATTATCTCGACAGAGAGGTAACATTTCCCTTTCCAAAGCTAAATAACAAGATGTTGTGGTGTATATGTGTTATGAGAGTGGGGGAAAAAAAAAAAAAAAAAAAAAGGATGTGCGTTTTACAAAAATTAAGGGAGAAATGCATTTCTTCTATATGTCACAATAAAATGTCTAAGGCAAATTCCTGCATTCAAAAATAACAGCAAGACATGAGTACTTATAACATTTAAGATGTACAGGTGGTCCTTATAACATGATCATTTGTCTTTCTGTAACAGCAACACAGTAGCTACACTCTTGTTGTGAAGGCGTCAGACCGGGATGGAGCTGCAGATGGAATATCATCCCTTTGTAGCTGTAACATTAAAGTTATTGATGTCAATGACAACTTCCCAACTCTCGCTCAAAGCTCTGTAAGTTTTTAATACCAAAGGCAACATCACTATTTTAAAAACCTGTTCAAAACCCCAGTTGATAGCAGAGCCCTTACTAACCCAGAGTGCTCTCACATTTGGATGCTCCACCAGATCAAGAGGACAGTTTCCTTGAAGTGTGCTCAAAATCCAGTCTGTCACTTGTGCACCAATTCTGATAACATACACATAGATTATTCTTATATTCAGAGAAGTCAATCCTGACACTGATTTCTCTGTATTCAGAGAAATCCAGTCATTCAGGTGTCTAGACCCGTGCAGTATAGCCAGATTACGCAGATTAACCCAATCGTTGTATGATCTTTTCTTACTGAAAGCACAAATCCATTTCCCCTAAACTGCCTCTGCAAACACTTAAGGTGATACAGCTCTTCAGATCTGCAGCCAGAATCACAGTTTACCCAGAACACACATTTTTTATTAAATTGGCATGGACTGAGGGCAGGACATTCTTCAAAAGTCTCTGCAGTCAGCCAGTTTTTTCTCACATTATATATTTTAGTGTTTGTTAATAGGTATTTATCTGTCATTCCAGTTTTCAGCAAGTATTTCAGAAAATTCACTCAGTTCAGAACTGCTACGGATACAAGCTCTGGATGCTGATGAAGAGTTTACAGACAATTGGTTAGCAGAGTTTTTCTTTATATCCGGTAATGAAGATAACTGCTTTGAAATAGTTACAGATCGAGCGACAAATCAAGGCATCCTTAGAGTAATTAAGGTATGGATAAATACTGTGATTCAACTGTTGAAATAATCATCTTAAAATAGTTTTAATTAATTGTTAACAAAATTAAACAAGCAGTAAAAACACTGCCACTTAGCCATTTAAAATAGAAAATATTTAAATAAAATTAAAGGAACTTCTATTTACTAACTAGTTCTCTGTGGTTTATCTTTTAGGAACTAAATTATGAACAATTCCAAACTCACTCAATGGTTATTGGTGTCAGGAATGTAGCTGCCTTCCACCACTCTGTTGCACGTGACTTCCAGGTGTATGGATCACCCCTCGTAGTAGAAGTAGTAAATGTCGTTGAACCACCACAGTTTCGTCCATCTACAGTTGTGTTCTCTGTACGACAAAACACAAGAGTGAATGATGTTGTGGGAATATACACAGCCATCGATGAAGACACTGGGGCTATTGCATCAAATGTTGCGTAAGCTCTTATCTGCTTAACTCCCTGGATGGAATAATTCTTTTAACTGAGATTTCAATGGGATGAGAAATAGGTTTTCTAAAGGGTGCTTTAAAAAACATCTTAAAAAAATTTTAATGGGTTAGCAATAAAATAATAGCAATAGAATAGTATATACTTGAGTCCATTTTTATGCTATGATTGCCTTGCTTCCTGTCCTACTTTTCTTACCCTTGTGCACAAGACAAAGAAAATTTCATTTTTCTAAGAGGCTGTAACTTAAATAAATCAGGACCAATTTTTTTTCTAACCCAGCCTAAAAATATCTTTTCTTGAAATGTTTGCTACAAGTAATGAATTTGTTAGCATCTCTATAAAAGCAAGCAGAAAACCCCAATAACGGGCAATATGCAATCACAATAGAAGAGATCACTACCAGCTCATTCTGTAGTTAAAAAACCCTTAAAATTATTTGACATTAATTTCTGCTGAAACTAATGGTGCCATAATTTGCTTTTTAATGTATGTAGAAATAAATACATACAATTTACAAAGGTTTGAAAAGTTTTCATAAAACAGAGAAATGTTATAGCAAATACAACTGTAGAATGTTATAGGAAGATCTCCGGATTTAACTACTGATATCGACAAGGGTTCTAGCAAAGGTTTACAGGGTCCAGAAAGATTTTACTTTTAGACTGTGATACCACTTTCAAAACATAAGGGACTCCCATGCATTTACTTTATTCCTAAATAATTTTCTGGTCTGCATCTTTTGAAGTCTACAGGAATTTTGCTTGAACAGGGTGAAGTGCAATGGGACCTAGCGCAGTCTAAAGAAAAATATTCCAATGTGACAAATATTATTTGCAAAATGAATATGTAATATATATATTCATAACATAATACTGAGTATTTTTACTTCACCAAATACAGATATAGTATAGGACGTGATCCGGGTGCCTGGTTCAGAATCAATCAAAACACTGGTGAAATCACACTGAACAAAGTTATTGACTGGGAATCAGTATATGTAACCAATGGGCAGTACAAAGCAGAGGTTCTGGCTATCACCAGAGGTAAGAAAAGAGATTAAATTTTCTGAAACAAAACCCTCTTTCTTCCAGATTTCTCTCCATGTTTTTTCCTGTTTCTAGTTTTCCCACCTGAACTGCATTATTTATAGTATCAATATCCCCTCCTGAACCACAGATAACTTCTTTTTACAGGGGCTCCTCGATATACTGCTACTGGCACCATTGTGCTTTCAATACAAGACATCAATGACAATTGCCCAACTATTAATACTGAATTAAGGAAAGTATGTATGCATTCCCCATCAGTGATTATCACAGCAAAGGCTATGGACGGTGAACAATATGGTCTCCCCTTTACATTCAGCATACATGGTGAACCTCAAACTACATGGATTATCAGATCACTAAACGGTAAATGAACCTACATTTTACAACAGAATAAACCATAGTAATAAACTCTTATCTAAGATAAGAGATTAGTATAACTTTTTAATAACAAACAAGAGTTATTAGAATCTATTCTAATCTCACTTAAATGTGATTTTATGATCATATGAATCCAAGAAGTTGCTCTTATATATATATATATACTATTTCCATATATATATAATCATATTAGAACTAGAATCAGAATCAGTACACATGTTTTATCTAGTTATCATCTTTTAAAGAAAACTAAAAATATACTGATAAAAATAGAGCAGTAAAACTACTTTATTTGAATGTAGCTATGATAAGCATCTCTATTGGTCCAAAATTAATCAGGTAATTCAAAAGGAGTAATTTGATACCTTTTTATTTCTATATTATCTAGAAATTCTAAGCTTATGACAAAACTCTCAGATTTATTTATTAGAGTGCAAAGTTATTAGTTCACAGAGCTTTACTTTTATGAGAGTTATATGAAAACGGCAAATAAAGATCACAGCTTTTGCAATTTACTGTATAAATTCCACCTACTTGTATTTTTAAGAAAAACAGTTTAGTCAGTGCTCAGTGAAGCTTTTCCAGTTTCCTCCAATAGGACATAACAAACTAATGAATTAATCAAAACTCATACATTACTAAATGACAGAATTTTCATAACTTACTGTATGCATAGAAGACTATATTAAATATCACAATTACAACTACTCTTGTGTCTCCTATTTGTCATAAACAGATGCAAATGTGTAGCTTTAAATATTTTAAAACTACTGAAAAAACTTTTGAAAACCACATGTAAATTCTTTGTGAGAGAAAAAAACATATAAAACGGAATTTTCATGTTCACCATTGTGCAAATAAAAATCAGGAAAAGCAGCAGTAGATATAAAAAAGCACATTTGCCCCCATTATATTTCTCAGGTTAAAAAGTGATGACTAGACTGATCTGGCTCAGGTTTTTCAAAAGAAAATCTAGCATAGAGGAATATCATAAGTTTCAGCTTTGAATAAGTACTGTAGACATGTAAGTAACTGAAGATCTTAGAATGGGACCTCTTAGTCTTCATTTTGCTCTATGAACATTACTCACAAATATTATAGATTTGTATAGTATTTATAGTCAATACGTTAATCTAAATATTTTTCTTTTTCTTTTTCTTTTTTTTTGTTTTTAACCAAAGCTTCCTCTGCAGAACTAATGACTCAGAACATGGACTTTTACCTTTATAGGATCTATATCAACGTAAGAGATAACCAAGGCCGGCGCTGCTCTAAACCACATATAATTCCTGTGCAAGCTTGTCAGTGCGATAGTCGTAATTACTGCACCAGTGGGGCCACAAGAATAGTGATCATCGGTGGTGGTGGTGGCAGTGGCAGCAGCGGTGGTGGTGGTTACAGTGGTGGTGGCGGTGCTGGTGGTGCTGGTGGTGCTGGTGGTGCTGGTGGTGCTGGCGGTGGTGGTGTCGGTGGTGTCGGTGGTGTCGGTGGTGTTGGAGGAGGCCAAGGAGGAATAGGACCAGATCAAGGAGGTGGTGGTAATGGTGAGGTTAGACCTGGAGGAGGAACTGAAGACCAAACAGACTGGCAGAGTTACACTGATGGGTACGGTGGAGGTGATGAAGGATATACTGCAGCCACTGATGATAGTTATAGTGGAAGTGGGAATTATGGCAGAGTTCTACCATCTTCTACCACACTTAGCGGTGCTGCCATTGGCCTGATGTTTCTTGGTGGATTAATATTTGTTTGTAAGTATAAAATTAAGAAAACAATTTTATTAATTTTTTGAAAAGTGTATTTTTTTAAAATTCTTGTAAATAAGGTAACTTTTCTGGTTGGTTGCTAACCTGTTGGCTCCCATGGGCCATTTAACAGAAAAAAAATGTCTTTTAAGTTATAAGAATTTCTATATATTTTGTATTCTACATATTTATATACATATTTCATTCAGAAATAACTATTTCCTTCCTAAGATTTAGGGGTTGTTTCCTAAGGTATTATCCAGTTGTCAAACCATCAGAAAGGGTAAAAATGTTTAGTAGAAGATTCAGAAGATTTTGGGCAAGAGCTGTCCCTGTCACAACTTACACTTTGCAGTTTGTGCTTCCATTAAATTACTAAAAGAAATTGACAAGTATCAGCTCCAAGCTGGGTATTAAAAGATGCAAAGAACAAGCTTCCTCTGAACTTAAAGAAAGTTGTAGAACAATAAATACAATAATCTTAAATTTTGAACCTTTTGGCTATTGCTGCCAAACATTACATCTATTAAAAACAAATAGCATTTGTGATAACAGGATCAAAACAGATCATTCATTCGTCCTAGTATTTTTTAAGAAATATGAGTTTCAGGGATATGAATGACTCAAGTTAGACTGTATGCAAGCAATTACCACCACAATCAGATGCGATCATCTTTCTTTCATGGTGGGGGCATCAAACAATCAACATCTAAAATTTTCCAGTGCAGAAATACTGACTACAAAACCAGAGGAAATGGATTTTTCCCCTAATTCTTTGAGGAGGGATGTTTGTTTTGATTAGTAGGAATCAACAAACACAAAATTTTGAAGCTGCAAAAGGCTGATTTGTTTGTAATTCCCAGGTGGTTAATATTGCAGGACAGACTGTCTTTCTGCCTTTGGAAATCTTCTCTCCTAGTTGGTAGTCTGGACTAAATGTGTCCTTAGCTGTGCAGGGTGAGGTAGAACTTTGTACACTGTATAGCCCTTTCCCTTTTTCTCTTCTGTTCACATTGATGGTAAACTGAGAGTTTTAGATGCTCTGCTTAGTCTGGTATAGGCAGCTGTTTCTCTCTCCACTCCCTCCGCAGTGATATGAGCTTACTGACTTTGCCATCTACGTTAAGGACCTAAAAACAGCCAGAATTATTATTGCAGTCCCTTTTTAAAATGAGCAATCTTTTCAATGTTGGCATTTAAAGCAATCAACAATTTCCAACACTGAAACAACGAAGCATAATACAGCACACTGGGAAACCTGACTCACTCTATGTAATCATTTGTTTAAAGTGGGGTTTGGGGTTTGCCTCTATTGTTTTCTTCAAATCAAACATTATGTATACGTGATGTGAAAAATGCAACTGGAGCCTTAGCCAGAGATCACTGTAGCCAGATGAATATCTCTCCACTGAATTCTCATATGTCTATTTCTTTCCAATTACAAATATCTGAAGAGGCAAATGCATGCGTATATATCAAGAATGAATATCACTGAATGCTACATGTAGCAAGACTGGTTCTGCTTGTTTAATTTTCATATGCAACTCACATTCATTCAGTTGAGATAGATCAAAGTCTGTTCCCAGGTGTATAGGCATAAATTTGGAGTAACAGCCCTACTCCACCCCCACTTTGCTCTGCTGTATCTAAAGGTACAAATTATTCTGTATTTTCAAATACATACATTTCCAAAAGCAGCTAATGATTCTGAAAGCCAGACTTGCAGGCTGTTTGGTTTGAAACATTTTAAAACACATATTTGCAGAGGTTCTTGAGTACCTGCCCTCTGGGAAAAGCAGCTATTCCTGCAAGGAAGAAATGTCCTAAATCCATGTTTCCTGTTTCATTCCTGTTAAGTGATTCCAATTTTGATGTCAATGAGCGACTGTTGTGGCTGTGGACCTGGCGCTGTAGGTGGAGTTGGAACTGGATTTGAACCTGTACCTGAATGCACAGAAGGGGCAATTCATCCCTGGGGAATAGAAGGTGCACAGCCTGAAGACAGGGTCAGTACATCCCCTGTTCCTAAATCCCACAGTAACTCATACTTAAAGAAAAGACTGCATTTGACTAGAAGCACGAAAGTGATTGTAGCATTGTGTTATCTTCTAAAAGAAGCCTGGCACTGTCAACAAGTTCAGCCAGGCAGATGTGGAAGATGATTCTCAACATTTACAGATGGAGTTTGTGTGTTTTAAGTTGTGTTCAGTTACCTTGGCCCAACAATCTGGTGTTACTATTCCCTCAGCTGAAATGCAGTAACTAACGATTTTTTTCAGCATGAAGTAGGACAAGCTAAAACAAACCATCTTCACTGATCCCCTTTTACCATGACAATTAACAAAACTTGGATGGACTCCTCTGAGTTTGGGAGGTTTTTATGGAGATGGTAATTAATAGCTATTGTTAACAGTTTAGATTGATAATTCCTTTTCATGATTCACAAAGTCTTGGTCTTCATATGGAAATTTCAAATTCATAATTCAAGGAGTCAAAATGTTGTCTTCCAGGATGTCTCACACATTCTTGCCCCAACAACAGCTGCGGGAGGTGATTTTGGTGAACCCTCTGGTAAGCAGATCCTAAAATTTTCTATGTGCGTTGTCATAAATCTCTGTTTCAGAACTTCATGTCTTCTGATTCAAAGAGCACTTTGGTTTCCCAGCTACAACCCAACCCTTTCAATCCTCCATCTATAGATAGTCAAACTGATACTAGTAGGACTTCCAGTATGAATGAAAGATCTGAGGTTTAAGCCTTTGAGCAGATTAATTTCTGCAAACTACATTTATTTCGAAAAATCTGCAAAGGCTTTCAAATCTCAGGCAATGTTTCTTTATCATTTCAGATAGTGAATGGAGGGTCTTTTCAAGACACCAATTTTATCAGAAATCAATCTTGAGGCCAAAATAAATAATTTTTCTTTCATAACTCAGTGGTGAAAGTTTCAGTTCTTCCCTATTTCCAGGCTCTGCTTCCCACAAGGAAGAATAGGACCCGTCAAGTAGCCAGTTAATTACTGACCATGTGTACGCTAGCCTAGACAGAAAGCTGGTACACAACACAATAAATTTATGCTTCTGAGACAAGGTTCTCCCAGGAATTCAATGGCCATAGAGAATAAGTCAAGCTCTGCTGTGCCATTTTCTCTTTTTTCCCCATTCCTTACTCCACAACAGGAAGGAAGGATGCTAGCACAAATCCATTTTCACTAGCTTCTGACAGGAAGAAGTGTCACTCTGCAACACAACTTCTCTGATGACTATTGGTTATTCAAAAATGTTCTCATCCTTAACGTAAAATAAAAAGAGAACATTTGGGGGCATAAACATGAATGAAGAGTCTTCATTCTCAGCGAAGTTCTGCTGCCATGACAATTTAAAAGTTTAAGACTTACACATGTGATTTACTTTATTTCCACTGTTCAGTACCAACACAGTGAAAGCCCCTGATTCAAATTCTGTAAACTGAGACTAAAGAGATTAAATGAAAAAACAATACAATTTAGCCTATGTTTCTTAATGTGACCATAGCCAAGACTACTGTATATAATTGTTTTATTATATTACATGCTGAATTTTAAGACCATTCATTCCTTTTTATCATATATGAAAAAACCTGGAAAATATAAAACCCTGTAGGTATGACTTTATAATTTATTGTAAAGGTAATTTTCATTCTGCATTATGAACACTGGTGGTTATTATGGTCAACTGTTGTTTTCCCAAATCACCCTTAACAATCTAACCACTAGAAATGTGAACGGAGTTACAAAGTTATTTCTTTTAGAAAAGAGTTTAAGGCAAAACAATTTTAACCCCAAAGTGATCATAAATACACATTTATCTATTTGCAGAAGTATCCATAAATATTATCTGATTTCCTAATGCAAATCCCATGGCACCTAGATGTACATCAGACAGGAATCTCTCCAGCCAATTACACAAGTGAACTATTGATTTTCTAAAGCACATATGAAAATGTAGCAGAACAAAATCAAAGTCTTAGATGTCTGCTAATATGCGCTTAATTTTTATTGCAGTTTCAATGTTTGGCACATGTGCATGGATCTGTGACTGAAATTAGTCCGAATTTCCTTTAGAAACTCAGTAGCATCATTCATTGTACTATTTGTAAGAACCACTGTCAAATTCTGTGTAAATTTTCACAGAGCACAGGAAGAATAACTTTTCTTATTCTGTTTTCAGACATATATACAAACACATATGGAGGAGGAGGAGGAGTAGCTTCTGGTGTTGAAGAAACTACAGGAGTTGGCTATGGCACCGGTACTGGTTATGGAACAGCTGGAGGAATTTCTGGAACAGGGGACACAAAAGGACCAATTGGAGGAACAATAAAAGAGTATCGAGAAGGAGGAGTGAACATGGCCTTCCTAGACAACTACTTCTCTGAGGTAATTACCTGATCTTTGTATTATACCTGTGAGCCTACTGTTAGATTCTCCTCCCCAAGTTACATGGTGGAAATACAAAATAACTCCATGCATATTGAAACTTCTATACAAGATTCAGTGGAAGAGGGGACAGAGCAGTCCTGAAGTCCTGAGAATGGACTTCTCCCAGACCACAATGTCCCTGCCTAGGCTGGGAGCACTATGTATTGACTGCTAGCCATAGGTCACCATAGACTACCCCTTCTACTGACCATCTCAATCTCCAAACCCTCTGCTTCTCCTGCCCAGGCCTCCCCTTCTGCCCTTCACTGCTTCCTCCAAGATCACCCCTCACTCAGTTTAAATTCTCCTCTTTCCTGCCTGACCCCTCTGTACTTACCACCCCACTATCACCACAGACATCACAAATCAGTGATCTCCATTCTGCTCAAAATGGATTTTCCACTGGGCTCACAAAGCCTTCCTCGCTGTGGCCAGCCCTCCATCCCATCCCCTCTGTCCTGGCCTCTCCACTGCTTCCCTCACCATCTTGCTTCACTCCTCTTCCCACCACTTCATCCGGATATTGCTGCCCAAAGTGTACATTTGTTTCCCCATTCCTTTCACTCTCTCCCTTCACCCCCCAGTCAGACCCCCTGATGGAAGACCAAATTTGAGATGTTAAGTGTTTGCAGAAACAAGAATAAAATATCGGTAGCATTTGAATAATACTTATTTCAAGGTCACAAACATGTTGATGATATAATTTGTTCGGTTGATGTCCTGTTTTTCAAGTCAGCTGGGTCTCACTGTGTTATACTTTTTTTTTTTTTTTTTTTTCTGATTTTGCAACTACAGAAAGCATTTGTGTATGCAGATGAAGATGAAGGTCGGCCGGCAAATGACTGCCTATTAATATATGATCATGAAGGAGTCGGTACTCCTGTTGGTTCTGTGGGTTGCTGCAGCTTCATTGGAGAAGATACAGACGAAACATATTTGGATACATTAGGACCAAAATTCAAGACCCTGGCAGAGATCTGTCTGGGCAAAGAGATCGAACCTTTCCCTGACGTCAACCCACCCTGGCCATGCGTTAACGTCACCTTTCCCAACCCTGAAAGTGATCTAAACCTCCCGCCACCTGGAACCACCATCATTGTCAATGGATGTGCACCAATGCCTCCCCCGGTCGGCACTACAACGGTTGTTACTGAAAACACCTACACATCTGGGTCAACCATACAGCCCCCGAGGCCCATGCCAGATCCTTTGCTCCACGGCAACATGACGGTGACTGAGACCTACACCTCTGGCTCCCCTTCTCTTTGCGTTGACCCTCTGCGTGCATCCAACGTTGTTGTAACAGAAAGGGTTGTCGGTCCTGCGTCGGCCTCTGATTTGCGTGGCATGCTAGATATCCCAGATCTCACAGATGGGTCCAACGTTATCGTCACAGAAAGAGTAATAGCACCTAACTCCCGGCTCCCGACCTCTCTGAGCATTCCCGATTTGGTAGACGGGTCGAATGTGGTGGTGACAGAAAGGGTGTTCAGGCCTGCCTCTGGCATGCCAGGCAGCTTAATAAATATTCCCTCGGAGTTATCAAATGCCCACAACGTGGTGGTCACTGAAAGGGTAGTGTCAGGGTCTGGGATGAGCAGCCTGGGGGGGACAAGCCTAGGGGGGACAAGCCTAGGTGGGGCAAATCTTGGGGGCCTCAGCAGCGCGGGTCAGATGCTCAGTGCTGACTGTCACCTTGGCCAGGCAATGGGCACGGCGTCCCCCGGCACCTCCCGGAGAAGAGTGACAAAGTACAGCACTGTGCAGTACTCCAGTCAGTAAGGCCTCTGCCAGCGCCCCTTCCTGTCCAAATTGCCTTTTGCACCAACACTCGTTAGCTGCCACCCACCAAGAATATTGTTATTATTTATAACTAGGAAATAGCGCTAAAGTTTCAGGGACTCCTACTTGTGTGAGGATCTCTGAAGGGTGCCCCGCTTCAAGGCCAAATGCAGGACTTTGTCAGTGAAGGGAAAGTTGAAGTTAGCTTTAAATTTATTTCTTTCTCTCCACCGAGCACTACAAGTTTACAAACAGATACTAATTTTTTTGGAGAGAGATCTCATTGCTGGGCGGAGCCGTGAGAAGGGATACTTGTGTGCATACAGTATCAGCACGAATTAATGTCATTGAGTTAATAGCCCCTCACTGACAAGACAGGAAAAGAATGTAATTAATAATTAGTCAACTCAAGACTAAATAAGCACTTTCAAATGCATCACTTTATTTTGCATGTAATTCAAGAAGCGCTACAGAACAGCACTTTCAATCATTTCTCCCATCACCAACAATAGTTATAAATAATAATCATATAAGCACAATACATTTTCATTGCTTTCTGAAGTTTTCATTAAAACACTCTGCCATGGCCTGCCATCCTGTTACTCTCATGGCGAGGAGCATGACCAGAAATTTGCCGCAGCAAAATAAAGTCTTAGTAGCTTTGTGATGTGGGGAGGCAATAGCAAGTATTGTATCACTGACACTGGTAGTCCTTCATGAAAAGAAAAAAACACCTGGGAGCAATATAAATTTGCTAATAAGCAGTGTGGAGAATTGTTATTTCATATGTCAATGTATTTTGCATTGATATTTTGAAAGTTTATTTGAATGTGTTAATTGAAAAAGTCTTTATGATTCTATGATCTTAATTAAATCTGGCTTTTATTTTCCCACAAAAACAGCTCTATTGGACTCTTATTCTAATAATACCTTAATGTGGCTTAGAATATGATCTGAAGGAGCAAAATACTGAAATATAGTATCTATCTCATTTTATTTCTGTATCATATGTACAGTAACAGCAACATCGCTTCCATGTAAATACAGTAGAGTTATACAGAGGGACTAGCTTTTTTTGCTAGACCACCAAATCAGTAGTTTTCCCTCAAATTTTGCTTCTTCAGCTTCGATGGTTAGGTTAGTGAAAAGTTTAAGAGTTGTCTGCGGACCTACCACTCTATAAAATGGAAAAGAAACTTTCAGTTGCATATGCAGATTAATTTATCTCAAAAGAACTGGAAGACAAGTTTCTGAGTCTGATATCAGGAAAAGGCTTTTCAAAAGGTGCTTTCAGAAATATGACTAGATCCGCTGCCAAAGATAACCTGAAGTGCCCCTGGTCAGTGCCACTGGCATTAACACCAGTAACCCGCAGGAGTCGTGACCAAATCCAAGGCTGTCTGGAGAAAGGGCCCCTTCCGTGGCTTCAAGCGCTTTTCTGAAGCAACCTGAGCATGTTAAATGCTCTCCCCATAATACCTGAAGTATTGCTATTTTTACTTCATGCTGTAGCCTTCATTATCTTAAGTATCACTAAAATTGCACTGACTTCAGTGAGATTAATCTCTCCTAAGTTAGGTACCAACCGTAAGCATGGTTTCTAGAACCATTCTTTAAAGAAGGAAAATAGTTACTAAGTTATAAAGCTGTATTTTTTTATATCTGGAGAGTTTGTGCTGAAGTCCACTAAAATGATGACAACCTCCTTTTCATTTTGCTAACCACCTATTTAACTAAAAAAGCAAATATTTGAAATATGCATGAGTCTCTAGACATTTAGAAAGCCTATGCAATATAGCCGAATCCCACTAGAGATATTTTTAATGTAAAAAAAAATGAAGTCTTGTGTAAATATTTCCATAGTCATCTTATGCAAATCAGAAATATTTTTCCTAATTGCGCTTCAAAGTAATGTAACTAGTCTTTGGGAGCACATGTTGAATTCTTTGTGGCCCTCTTGAACAGGAATGCTGTGTGAAGTATGAGTGTCTGAACTAACTATGGTCTCTTGCACATCTAGAAATAGTAAGGGGAAGAATTCATAGAGAAAAAATGTTGTTTCTAAGGACAGATTTTGGTTATGTAGTGGTTGACTATTTCAAGTGCTATCTTTTACCAACTTTTTAAAGATCAATAGCCTATTATTTAATACAATTTGTTGAAAGATTTCTAGTATTTTTCAATCTTGGTTTCTCACATCAAACAGCAATCACATTATCCATCAGTGCATTTACAGTGCATTTCTGAATATTAATTTCTATTGCTGTGTAATTTTTAAAAACTTTCTTTAAATTGTTTTCTTAGTGACGTGGATATTTTTAGGTTACTACAAATTGTGGAAGAAAAATGTATATGAAGATGTGAACAAATACTTGGTTCATTAAAAATTCCACACAAATTCTTCTTCTAGCTTTATTATTAAAAAAAATAGCATATAGTTTAATCCTGACTAGCAGACATTAGCTTTGTTTCTTTTCCTTCAGTTGTAATTCAGAAGCCCATTTGCTGTCTACCTTTAATCATATTGTTTGGTAATGAAGAATGAATGGTTTTCAGGAAAGAAAGACAACTTGGAGTAGTGATATCAATCCTGCTCTAAACTATTCAAGCAAAAACCTCTTATTAAAGTGTTAGCAACATGCAACACCAAGTCTATGGCTTTCTTTATTTTCATTTGGGTTTTGTGGAGCAGGATCCTACGGTTTTACACAGGCTCACCAAGACCTTGACATCATGAAAAGAATACTGCCATGGAAGAAAACAGAGCCACAAGCTGAGGGTCTCATTAGATTTCTACCTTGGGAACACTGTCTGAATTTGAACTGCAGATTTGAATACTTTTTAATTTTTCCTGATTTTGTGGTAATAAGTAACACATTTAAACTGTTGTGAGCAGCACCTAAAACATGCAATATGAAAAGACCACACAATTTAAGCAAAAATAAAAACTCTACTGTTTTGCTTGAATTAATATAACTGCACCATTCAGACGCTCCTCACTACTGAGTAACCAGATCCATCATTTTAATTCTATTTACAATATAGCTAATATTACAGTGTTATTGTGCTTTCATAAATAAAAATATTAGAGATTTGTTTGTAACAATTGCTGAATGCTACTTAAAAAATACAATAAATAATCATTTGGAACATCATGTTTTAAGTTGAGTGACGCAGGGTATTTTTCTTCTTCATTTATCAGTGGGAAATGTTCCCTTAAAACTGCTGGTTTATGCAGGAGAATTCTAATTTTCTTTCAGGAAAAAAAAAAAATCAAAACAAAAAGTGTTGCTTTAGAAATTCAGAGCATCCTGGGATGAAAACTATTTCAGGTGTCAAATTGAATAAGATACTTTGATTTAGAATGTCAAGCAGAAACCTCTGTCAGGTCTCATAAGAATTCTAGAACAATTTCCTCAAGCCATCATTCTCTGCATTGTCCTCTCTCTATAGATGGCCTTTTCTGCGATACCTTTCTGTCCTGCAACTCTGAAAGAGTGCTTCAGAGGAGTTATAGATTAACGCTGGAATACAAGCCACAGAGAAGAAAGAGAGCAAAAGGCACCTGAATCACAGTATTTGGGCAGCACAGGCATTGCAGGTACATTCAGTGCATACAGGTCAAGAGCTCCTGAACCAAGCAAAACCACTTTGGTTCTAAAAGTAAAAACTCAACAATTTTACTTTTCTGAATCCAATTTCTTTGTAATGTTCCAGGCCAGTATTCATGATAATAATAATTTTTTGTACAGAGGTTTTTCAAAAAGGTTTATCTGAACTCAGCAAAATATTGCTTTTAAAAAAGAGAATCATGTTTTTACTTCTAAGTCTAATGTATCATTTTATTTTGCCATAATATTTTGACATCTTTTTTCTCAGCATTTCAGACAGAATGATTTTTGGCATTCACACATACTTTAGATAATTGTTTAAATATCTTTTCAAAAAGTTAGGAAAAAATATTGTTTATCTTTCAATTTATAGCAATGACATTGCTATCAGTCCGATGACACTGCTAATTCCAGTGCAACAAAGATAATTTATCATTTATTTTCTGTGTATTTAGAACCTAAGTGGAAATAAAGCAAAATTCTGTCAAATTTGCAAACTTGGAAATAATGCAAAACTCTGTTCATTTGTTATACTCAAGCAACTTTAGCTGAAATATATGGGAGTGCATGTAAAAGTCAAAAATAGGTCAACAGACAAAGTTATTTCATATTCCAAGTGCACTGAAATTTTACAAAAAGGAGAACAATGACAGAGTTTCAACAGTGACAGTTCTGGATACACTTTTGTATAATGACAAATCTGTTGTATTTACCTGTTGTGACTAGTAGTTAAACAACATCCTGTAATTCAGGATACAGCACAATAAGATATGAAATGGAACAGTCATAAATAGGCAATTTAGGAAACAAAAGCTGCTTAACTGACATCTATCACATACCTTGACCTTTGACATTCATCATACACTGCTGGGCCTACCTGAAAATTTAGTTAGCTAGTAGTTCAGCTTTTTTATTTTTCCTATTTTTTAGGAAAGCTCTAAAAAATAAAACAAAATATATATATTACTTACAGTCTTTTTTCCAACTCATTCACTGAAGATTTGATTCAAGGTAGTCAAAATTTAGGTAAAATAAATAGCAATTTTGTACTTGCAGGCTTTGATCTTACAGTGATGCAGTAGCAAAGATCTGTGTGAGGGTCTGTCCACGTGGCAGTCAATTCAGGCTCAGGCTGTCAGGGAGGTGAATTGTCTTGTGACACTAGACCAGGACTCAAGAGACAACGATCTCCCCAGGACTACTTATTGGACCTCCGTAAGTTGTTTAATTTTTCTGAATTTTCAATAAATTGTCTTTGAAAAGGGAAATGTCAACTTAATCTCTTCCCCTTGGGAATATGATTATAAATTCATCAATGTTTGTAAGATGCTCGGGTGTTAAGGTGTTTTGGTAATGCATATTTGTTGCCAGCAATGTGCCTGTAGCATGCGTAAGAGGACACTTCTCAAGACTCTGATGCCGAATGTCAATTAAAATGAATGCCACTTGACTGTAAAATACACTCTAGATCAATTATTCATATATAAATAGCAAAATAACGGCTATTGGACATGCAAAATTTAATAATACTATCAGGAAAGTAATGCTTTTCTTGTGTTGTTTCTGGGTATGTAAGTCTGACTTTTATCTCCTTGATTTCCTTAGCTAATATATTACTGAATAAAAATGACCATGGCAGGCTGTAGCAACAGACTTAGGAAGGGACTACAGAAATTTGTGTGTAGCAGGTCTTTAAATACAAACTAACTAGCCTCACCTGGGTGAGTACTAGGGGACGGACTGCAAGCAGCGGCTAGGGTTGCACATACTTTCTAAATGGCCTATCTCCCATTGCTATTGTCAGAGACAGAATTAAAAGAAATGCACCCATTTTTCTTGTAAGTCTTACCAGTTACACTCCGACGTCATTCAGAAACTAATCCAAAAATTCAGCAGGAGTATTGCCAGTGACTGTAAATAACTTTCTTGATCACCTTTGAAAAGTTGCCTAGTCTCAGGTCTAGGAGATTGCCTGGGATTTGCACTTTTTATAGAGGAATCATCTGAAAGCACCTGAACTTGACAAGTTTCAATGGAAAGTTGTCAGTCTTAACACTGATGTTAACCAATATGGTTTGTACTTTCTCACATTCACAGCTGTGTAACCATCAGGAAAAAAATGAATGCAGCCTTTGGGTCACTTGGGACTTTTTCGCCTTTTGCCATCAAAATCAGAACATATTTTGATTCAACAGAATATCAGTGGTCTCAAGGTGATGGGATACACATAGTGGAACCATCTCACATAAAAACATGTATGTCCACAGCCCGCTCTGACAGATGCCTCA